TATTTTACAAACAATCTGTGATAAATACAAAGTATGTCTTTAATTATTTATTTCGGCCTTTTGTCCGGAAAACCTAATAATTACAATTCAACTTAAAAGCAGGGACATCGAATAACCCCTTTACGTGCTTGTTGCGTCACACATGTTATTTTCAACGCTCCAAAGCCGGATTTCAGTTTAAAAGGTACTTTTCGTTTTTATCACATTCAAATGAAATTGCCTGAATTTATTTGATTATTCGATATTTTAAACGATCAATATTAATTACTGTTTGTAAGCGTTTCCGTTTTTAAAACGGTTCCTATAAATAATTCGTTTATAAAAAATATCGTTAATAGGCATTTGAATCTATTGTATAGCAAAAAACTGGGCAATTTTGAATAGCGATAATCAATAAATTCTACTCATTAAACACATGTAACTTTTTCTCTACAATTTATAACTTTCTTTGTATTTAACAAAGTGCATATGGAAATAATTCCCCTTTTATAATTTCATAAATATCCCATTTAACATTAAATACGGGTGTGTATACTTATAGATTAAATTATATTATAAAATCATTTTGTACAACAAATTCCTTTAACGGTACTTTGATTCAAATAATTTCTTCCAGATCCGCCATCAATTTTACTATTCGAAGGATTGTTTTAATTACTTCAGTTATTGTTTCCAGAAATGTATCTTCATATACTTATACTTTGACATAAAAACACAAAATTTAGGTGCACCCATAAATCAATTACTGCACACACCTCAAGATATACCTAAAATATAATTTCCATTAAAATCATTCTACCATATTCCAAAATATAAAACTAAACCAAACGAAACTACTATCAACTTCAGTCTGAACACAGAACATACTAATTGCAATCTCTTCAACCACGCCTCCCTCAACAAAACCATTCCTTCCACACCCAAAACAAAACTCCTTCCTCCCAACCAACGATCTTACCCATATCACACTTTCGCCAGTAGCCGATCAATATTTATAACACCCAAAAGCCTACCGAATCAACGTACCAAGGAAGTTGTTCCGCGCGAGAACGTGTCGCGAGGCGATGATCCGTGTGCCGAAGTTTATGAAAGAATAGAACTCAACCGAGAGGGGGTGGAATGATGGTATCAGGCGGTGTAGGGACCTCGAAGGGACCCACGGAAGGGGAACAGAGAAAAAAAAAGAAATATCGAAGCGGTGCACAGATTTACGCGGCATGTTACCCTAATGAAAATCGCGAAGGATGAATCTCGCAGCGGTGGAGGGCGGAGAGGTGGCTGGTTGAAATACACAGGGGTGGAATTAGAATATCAGAGACACATTCGCCGGCTCTATACACACGTTACACCAACGCTCCTCCCCTGGTCGGACTCGACGTATATAATACTTGTCGGTAGTTGACAAACCCTCGACATCAATTTCTCTCTCTGTCTC